TGAAAATAGTGGTATGTTCTTTATCCGCAAAAACAAATTGAAAGAAATTAGGTTTAATTTCTTTGACTGTAAGTGGCCCTTTTATCTGCCACATTTGAGAGATAGCCCGTTTGATACTCGTGAGATTGGTCCTTTTCTGTTCGATAATTTTGCCGAGGAGACTCCTAGAACATTCCTCCGCACTGTGTTGGATATCATTGGATTCGATTGAGAATACTGCATTCTCCCTATCCGACAATTGAAAGGACTCTAGCTTTGCAGCAAGATCTTCTTCCATTTGCGCTTTCGAGGACACAAGCAAGCGAGACGGATGAAGCCTGAGAATAAGAAGACAACAAACAAAGGTGCACAAGAAAAGAAACAAACCCTAATCTGGGAAAGGATCGAAAATAAAAGGACATTGAGACGATTAACACTTATCTGGGTGATAAACCTAATTAGGTAGATGGATTATACCTGATCGAGAGGTGATTTTGTCTCAGGAGAGAGGATGAGCTCCCATTGCGGAAGGATTTTAATGTGTCTGCTTGTGCCCTTAAGAGGAAAATAAGAGAAGGTCAACAGGGGGAAACATTGGACATTTGAAGGTCAATTTTTGAATCTCAAGGAATGGCAAGTAGATATTTACGCGGAGCATCCTGCCTTTCAGGAAGTGGAAATGTGGGTTCAGGCATGGAATATCCCGATTCATTGGATCTCGGCGGAGGTGGTATTGAAGATCGGCTAGTAAATGTGTCCGTATTCTGGCAGCAATAGATATAAATCAGCCTTTACTGCGATGCAAAAATATTCAGTTTGATGATACAAAAATTAAAGGGCACTTCAAATACGAGAGGCTCGTCAATCTGTGTTTCTATTGTGGCTGCCTTGGGCATATTGAATGGAACTGCGACAAAAGATCATCAGATATAGCTAATGGCAGATTGCTTGAGGGGCTTTATGGTGACTGGCTCAGAGCCTTAGATATTTTTCCAACCTCTCCCTCAAATCCCACTCATACACATGCTGAAACTGCTACTCAGACCAATAACCTCAACCCAGTAACAACAGCAATAACCCCCCACCAGATATACTCAAATCCCCCATCAACACCCCAATCTCGGCATCCTCCCAACTGCAACCTAAACAAGCAAATCCATCCCCATATCATCCATATGACCATAACATTTCCTGGGCTCCTTTACCCCCTCCCAACCAAATTCATTTCCCCATAGCTATGGATACAGAAACCTCTAAAGAGCAACAACCTAGCGTAGATCAATCCCTGCCTCTCCCAGACTCTACCATCCCACTACCAACCCCAGTTACAAAGAGGGGACCCAAAAAAGGGTGGAAAAGAAAACCACAGGCTACATCTACCTCAAGTGTTGAAACCTCTCAAGGTGGTGCCACAAATAAAAGACCAGTGGAATCAATGATAGAAGTAGCAGATGAGCAAATGAAATTGCACTCTGACTCTGAGAACCCTTCCAAGAAATGTAAACTCTCCACTCAAGGGGTGTTGGTGGCTAACCCTAATGGCCACACGCCCCAATGAAGGCTGGAACTGTAGAGGTGCGGGTGGCCCCTCTAGAGTTCCCCAGATTAAGGAGATATGGAGGCTCCATCACCCATCATTTTTCTTTCTCTATAAAAAAAAAAAAAAGAATAATTCCATCTCTACGATTTGTAAAAATTTAGGTGTTAGGAATAGTTGGGTTTCAGTAGAACCAGCAGGCAGGAGTGGAGGACTGTTACTATTTTGGGAAACCTCAACCCAAATCTTTCAAGTCATTCTCAAGCCTTTCAGCATTGCAATTGAGTTCTGGGATGAAAGCAATGAAGTGGTCAGCTGGGGCATCTTTGTTTATGCAAGCACAGACTCTAGGGAGAGAAGCTCCCAATGGGAGAACCTGCTCTCAGAAATGCCAAAATGGGGGCAATACTGGTTCATCACCGGAGATTTTAATGATTTGGCTCATCCAGAGGAGAAGAGAGGTGGGATAACCAGAACCATCACTTTTTGTCATAATTTCCAGAATTTCATCAGCCAAATGGGTATGCAGGAAGTGGCTCTGAGTGGTTACCCCTTCACATGGGGTAATAACAGGCTAAATGAAGGCTTCATTGAAGAGAAATTGGATAGACTTTTTGGATCATTGCAGTGGCACCCTCTTAACCCTAATGCCCAGGTGCACAGTGTCTTTAAAAGCTCATCGGATCACAGTCTTTTCCTCATCATTTGCAAACTAGAGACTAACCATAAAAGGAAGAGGTTCTACTTTGATAACCGATGGCTGACAAGGGATGGAGTGAGAGAAGTTGTCACAAAAGCATGGGAAAAGCCACAAGAAGGTACTCCACAATTCAGCCTTCAATCTAAAGTTCGAGAGACCAGAATTGAACTGTTGAAATGGAGCAGCACACTCAAATCAGATAATTCCAAGAAGATTGAAGAATGCAACATGGCTTTAAACCAGCTCAGAGAACAGGGGGGCTTGCGAGATTGGGCCAGATGAGATAAGTTGTCCAAAGAGTTAGAAATGACACACAAACTTGAAGAACAGTTCTGGATGCAGAAGTCCAGAATCAACTGGCTGAAGCTAGGGGATACTAATTCAAAATTCTTCCATTCTAAAACTCTGCAAAGAAAGAAAAGGAATCATATTCATAGGCTGGTTAGAGAGGGTAGTACGGTCTGTGAAAACAAAGATGCCATTTTCCACTGTGTTGAAGATTTCTTTTCCCAGCTCTTCACATCAGAAGGGAGTATCAGTGGGGATAGACTTCTTCTGGGAATGGAGAAAGTGATAACTAAGAACAGGAACAGAGAACTGGTGACACAAGTAAGCGAGGTGGAGATCAAAGAAGCTCTTTTTGGCATAAATCCCTTTAAAGCCCCTGGACCCGATGGTATGACCTCTTGCCTTTATCACTCATTTTGGGATATCATCTGTCATGACCTTGTAGAAGCTGTACATAGCTTTTTTTCTTCTGGTCTCATTTTGCAAAGCTAAAACAAATCCCTCATTAAGCAATCTCAAATTTGTCATTTTCGGCCTATAAGTTTGTGTAATGTCACTTACAAAGTTATTTCCAAGATTTTGGCCAATAGACTAAAAATCTGCCTGCCTTTTTGTATAAGTGACAACCAATCTGCCTTTGTCCTAAATAGACAGATTCTAGACAACGTTATCATTGCTAATGAAGTTATTCATTTCCTTAATTGTCATAGAACTGGGAAATCTTGTTATATGGCCATTAAGTTGGACATGTTCAAGGCTTTTGATCGTGTTGAATGGGAAAGTGTTAGATTGGTTATGCTGAAAATGGGTTTTGATGCCTTATTTGTTAGATGGATTATGCAGTGTATATCCTCATCCTCTTTTGCTTTTAATGTTAATGGAGAAGTTGCAGGTTTTCTTAAGCCTTCCAGATGAATTAGACAGGGTGATCCCCTGTCACCCTATCTTTTCATCCTTATTTCTGAAATATTTACTCATCTGCTCAGAGTTGAATTGTTAAATGGTAACCTGCAAGGCATTAAATTGAGTAAGCATAGTCCAGTCCTTTCTCACATATTCTTCGTAGATGATACACTGCTATTTACCAAAGCAGACCCTCTCCAAGCCTCAGTTCTAATTCAAATCTCTCAAACTACCAAACCATCACTGGCCAGAAAGTTAATCTCACCAAATCATCGGTTTTATTCAGCAAAAACACCCCCCAGCCCACATAAAACCAGATTTGTCAGATTTTGTTAGGTATTAAACCTCAATACTCGGCTAAATACCTTGGCCTTCCCCTTGGTATAGGCAGATCCAAAACAACCACCTTCTCTTTTGTTGAAGAAGCATTAAGAAAAAGAACCACCAACTGGGCAAACAACTTTCACAAATGTGCAGGTAAAGAAGTGCTAGTCAAGGCAGTTCTCAGTGCCATCCCAACTTACACCATGCCCTGCTTCCTCTTGCCTAAGAAAGTGACACACAAGCTCTTCTCACAAGTGGCTAACTTCTGGTGGAATAACAACAACAGGAACTCCAAGAACATTCACTGGAAAAGCTAGTCTCACCTATCTCTTCCTAAGGAATTGGGAGGCATTGGATTCAAGGATCTCCACCTCTTTAATAAGGCATTGATATCAAAGCAACTCTGGAGACTTGTATCACAACCACAACTCTTGGTAAGCAGGGTCTTAAAGGGGATTTATTTTCCCAATGGCAGCCTCTTCACAGCTACAAAAAAGGTAACTGCTCCTAGGTTTGGTCAAGCTGGTGGAAGGTTAGAGAATCTTTCCTGAAGAACCTCAGATACCAAGTGAGGAAGGGTAACAATGTCAGCATATGGGATCATCCATGGGTTCCAAGCTTACCAGATTTCAGACCAAAAGGATTGCAGCAGAGGAATTCAGACCTTAAATGGGTAAGTGACCTGCTTGATGAAACAGGAAGAAGGTGGAACTTGCAACTTCTGGATGAAGAGTTTCCTGAATCAGAGAAAGCAACAATTCTTGAAATCAAAGGGCTGGATCCTCATTCACCAGACTCTCTCCTCTGGGAAGGGAATACAAGTGGCAAATTTTCAGTTTCATCTACCTATGCAAATCTCATTGGGGAAAAAGTGAGGCAGATGGATATTGCTGAGTCGAGTTCCTCACAAGCAGCAATGAAACAGGCTAGAAGAAGAATGTGGACCTTGAAAATCAAGAGAAAGCTGAGACATTTCATCTGGAAATGTCTAACTAACACTCTTCCAGTGCTGAAGAATCTCCAGTCCAGAGGAGTGGTGCTTGATACTATCTATAAATTCTACGGGGAGGCTGAT